ACTCCGCAGGACCCTGGGGAGTTTGTGTGGTCAGCCCTGGGCCTGCCCTTCCCAGCCAGGGTCAGGACAGGCAGGTGGGGAGGGTCTGCCGTGCTTCTGTCAGCTTCTGTTCATTGGTGGACACGTTTCCTGAGTACCTCTCACGAGCCAGGGTTCTAGGTGCTAGGGAGGTACAGCAGTGTAGAGGGAGAGAGACTAACAAGCAAATCCGTGTATCAACGCAGCAGGTGCTTTGATAAACGATAAAACAGGTAGGGGGTTAAAAAAGGAGAGGCTTCTCTGCTTAGATGAGTCCAGGAGTGCCTCCCTGAGGAGGTGACATTGGGGAAGGGACCGGGGGGATTACGCGAACCAGCCATGAAAATACTAGGGGGCAGCGTGTGACAGGGATGGGCAGAGGCGCTGTGCTGGGGTGGGGCCCTGGCACCTCGGAAGGGCTGGGAGGCCGGGGGCTGGGCGGGGTGTGTGGAGGAGGGCAGAGGATGCGGGCGGAGCGGCTTTTGCAGGTCCGTCGTCTGAGGACTGACAGTGGAGTTCGCCAGCTCAGACTAGAGAAAGGGCTGCCGGCCTCGTGGCTGGACACCACCGTGGTCGCTTTCGAGGCACTCCCCTCGGGCCGCGATGCACTGACGCCCTCACCAAGTCTGCCCATCAAAGCAGTTTTGGGGCTCTTTGACCAGAGTGGCCCTCAGAGCTGTGGTCGTGCGACTCTGAATGTCCTCAAAACGTCTTCCTTCGAGGATTTCTTTTCTCCTTGGGTAAAGAAGAAAGTCGGTGGGGGCTAGACGGCGTGAGTATGGGGGTGTCCCAGCATCGTTGTTTGGGTCCTGGCTGAAAACACTGTTGCGAGCCAAGAGCTCCCTCCAGACGGTTTTTGTGCCCAGCTTTCTCAGGCCGCGATTTTCCGCGCAGCTTTTCCGGCTTCTCTGTTGATGGTCCTTTGGTGCGCTGTGCTTCCGGCAGTCAGCTGATGACTTGGACGGGCAGTTGGCTGCGTTCTTGCAGTGTCTTCATCAGTTCCGCTCGGCATGGTTCTGTCCTGACCACTCCTCATCGGTGGCGCTTTCTGTCCCTTCAGAGAAATGTTTAATCCATTTGACACTGCTGTTTTCTTCTTTTTTCTTTTTTCTTTTGAGTTGGAGTCTCACTCTGTCACCCAGACAGGAGTGCGGTGGCCATTCCTGGCCACCGCAGCCTCGACCTGCTGGGCTCCGGCGATCCTTCTGCCTGAGCCTTGCAGGTGGCTGGAACTACAGGTGCACGCTACCACACCTGGCTAATTTTTGACTTATTGTAGAGATGAGGTCTCAGCAAGTTGCCCAGGTGGGTCTTGAACCCACGGGCTCAGGCAGTCCACTCACTTCAGCCTCCCAAAGCACAGGATTACAGGCTGAGCCACTGAGCCCGGCTTACACTGCCGTTTTCTTCATAGCGTTATCCCCATAAACTTGGATGAACATGCGCCCATGATTTCACTTCCACTCTTGCCAAGTTTAACAAGAAATTCGATGCTTGTTCATTGCTCTAATATAAACTCTGACATTCCCACAATGACACACAAAAACATACAAAACAACAGTGAACGCCACTCAGCAAGACACCACCACATGTCGACACAAACACAGCTGGGGGACACTCATATGCCAAGGTTAGGAAACCTCACTGCGTTGTTTGTACAGTGCTGCCAACGTAAGCACCCGGTGGCAAGTTCGCGAACTTAACAGTCAGAGCTCTTAGTTGTGCTGGAGCGCCGCCTTTATTTTCTCTGCCCCTGGCCGCTCGGGCGGGAGCAGGCGTGAGAAGGGCATAGAACGGGCCCGCAGGTGCCTGGGTTCTGGGCGATGGACCCCTTGGGTGGTGGGGCATGGGGCTGGGACAGGCTGGCCCTGCCGCCCTGGAGCCCAGAGCCGGCTGCCCCCCAGTGTGGCCCTGGGTCTACACGCTGGGGCCGGGGAGGGCCCGGCCCCAGGCTCCCTGCCACCCACCCCTGCGTCTGCAGACATCAACGAGTGCACGTCACTGTCTGAGCCGTGTCGGCCGGGCTTCAGCTGCGTCAACACCGTGGGCTCCTACACCTGCCAGAGGAACCCGCTGGTCTGCGGGCGCGGCTACCACGCCAGCGAGGACGGGGCCAAGTGTGTGGGTAAGGCCGGCCGCCTCCAGGCCCGACCAGCCTCAGCCAGCCGCCTCCAGGCCCGACCAGCCTCGGCCGGCTGGGGACCCCGCCTGCGGAGGCCTCGGTGGACGGAGCCCCCCGGCCTCAGGATGCCCCTTGCCCCCACCCCTGCAGACGTGAACGAGTGCGAGACGGGCGCGCACCGCTGCGGCGAGGGCCAGGTGTGCCACAACCTCCCCGGCTCCTACCGCTGCGACTGCAAAGCCGGCTTTCAGCGGGATGCCTTCGGCCGCACCTGCGTCGGTAGGTGGGGCTGGGCCTGTGTGCTCCGCGTCCCTCTGTCTCCCCTCCTCCGCCGGAGCGGCGCCCCCTGCCCGGGTCCCCCCCCACCCGTGCCAGTCCTCCAGCTGCCCCCTCCCTGCTGGGCCACGCCCCTGCTTCTCCCTGACCCGGTGATCAGCCCTGCCATCCCGCCCTCTGCAGCTCCG